CCTACCCTGAGCCAATACATGTCTATGGTCTATCAAGACTAATTGTCTTTCTGGTTTCTGCAAACACCAAACAGATGGAGTGAACTTACCTCAGGTAGCGACGAATGGGCTCACAAGCCACCTCCAGGATGACCATAGAAGGATCTAGCACACGTAATGCCTTGATGGCAGAAATATAGAGAGTAATGATGTCACATGTGTTGACTCCTACAGTGGGAAAGAGGAGCCAGAAGTCATATAACAGCTTGGACAGCAGCCTCCTGAACGCCAAAACCTGAGTGTACTGCTGGCCACACTGGCTGGTGATCTAAAGGTTACCATGTGACCTTCATTTTAAGGAGATTACATATTACCTTCTTGCCCCTAAGCCATTCAAGTGATTTATAAACACAGTCTCGAGAATTTTCCAAGGAGCAGTCTATTATGTTTTGAATCTAGAATGTCCCCTATAGGCTTGTGGGGTTTTTGTTTTTTGTTTGTTTTTGTTTTTGAGACAGAGTTTCTCTGTGTAGCCCTAGCTGTCCTAGAATTCACTCTGTAGACCAGGCTAGCCTCAAACTCAAGAGACCCACCTGCCTCTGCCTCCTTAGTGCTGGAATTAAGGGTGTGCGCCACCACTGCTAAGCTAGGTCCATGTTTTGAAGGCTTGATTCCCAACTTGTGGTGCTATTTTTAAGACCCAAGAACCTTTAGCAAACTATGTGTAGTAGTTTGATTCCAGCAATTGGGAGGCAGAGTCAGCTTAATCTGTTAAAAGTTGTTTGATCAAAAAAAAAAAAAAGAGACCCTGTCTCAAAAGCAATAACAACAAAGAGCCTTTGGTAGGTAGAGTTTAGCTAGTGGAACTACATCAGTACATTATTTCCTGAAGTCTTTTGGAGTTTCTTATCTATCATGTGACTATGCCATCATACCTTTCCCATTACGATGAACTGTAACCTCCTGAAACCAAGAGAATAAGTCCTTCCGCTCTTCAGTTGATTCTATCATGCATTTGGTCACAGAAACAAAATAATACACAAAACTTCCCCTTACCACACAGCCTATTCTAAAAAGACCACATATAACCTTTAGACCAAGTCAGACAGGCTCTGACTTCCAAAGATGGATAAATCTCAGGGTTAACCCAGCCCTCCCAAGGACTTCAAAAAGTGCTTCTTAACCTGTTCTTTCACTGACATACAAATCCAGGACTAGAAACTTCTTGTGAGATCTGAGGGCTATTTAAATGGCCAGTCTATAGTGGCCACACATGGTACCTGGGTGGAGGAGTCGAGTCTCTAGGGCCACCTTGAGGGACACAAGCAGCTGCTGCCTCTGATCTGTCCTCTCCAAGCAGTATTTAAGGTCCTCAATGGCTGGCCGAGAGTCTGGGAAGTCTGAAAGAGAACCATGCCACAGGGATAGGTAAGTAAAAAGGTGTAATAAGCAAAGTATATGGTGTGTGTGTGTATTGGGGGTGTTGTGTATCAAGATACACAACATGGCAGCAGCCCAGAAAAGAGACACCCATTATAACAAAATGTTATTTATAATTTTCAATGTAACCTTCACTAGAGGCCAACCTGACCAGAGATGACTGTTTCATCTGCCTAGAGGCTCAGTTGACTGTTTGAATCTCAAAGACTCCGATACCCATAGGTACCTTAACTCACAGAACACAGTTATCCCTCCTGTGGTGTACAATGGTAGACAGCTGAACTGTCCAAAGCTATACTAGCTGTGCAATTTAATTCAATATCAATTTAAGGCTCTTGGGAAAAGAGAAACAATTTTGTCAAATGACTTGCAATTAATGAGGACTGCCTTCAATTTTTTTTTTTTTAGATTTAAAATTCTTATATGTAGGAGTATTTGCTTGTAAGGAGTGTTTGTCTGCCTGTATGTATATTCTCCATGTGCATGCCTGGTACCAGTGGAGGCCAGAAGATTTTGGATCCTCTGGAATTGAAGTTACAGATGGCTGTGAGCTGCCACATGGGTAGTGATCCTGAGTCCTCTGTAAGAGTAACACATCCTCTTAACTGATGAGCTGTCTCTCCATCCCTATCCTATACAAGTTCTTTCTCTCTTTTTAAAGAGTTATTATTTATATATATATATAAAATGTTCCTCCTGCATGTACACCTGTATGCCTGAAGAGGGCATTGTAAGTGATTTTTGAGCCAATATGTGGTTCCTGGGAATTGAACTCAGGATCTCTGGAAGAGCAGCCAGTGCTCTTAACCTCTGAGCCGTCTCTTCAGCCTCTACACACATTCCACAAGTTCACACTTGCTCAATAATACTCACACATAACAGAGTGATACACAGGACCAGTCCCAAGCAGGAACCAAGATAAAAAGACAAGAGTGGACACCTAGAAGCACCTGCTCAGTTCTGCTCTAGACTCTGAGCCATGTCAAAGGAGGTCCAGCTCTGCTCAACTCACCACTTGCGTTGGAAATTACTGGAAAAGGAAGGTTCTGCAGGGTAAGAGGCAGGACCAACCTCGGATGATGCTAAAGAGCTCCTCGATGCGCAGACTGGCATAGATCCGGTAGAAGAATCTCTGTACATGGCAGCGCCAACGACGCAGTGTGTTCCCAGCTTCTGGAGAACTTGGCCTGGTAGTGTTGTCCTGAAGGAACACTTTGCCAAGCCAACCAACCACTCTCTCGATCCACTGTGGAAGATCATTAGTATGTGAGGTGTAATAACACTTAAATGCTCCAGCCTGACCCAGTAACCACACACCTTTGACAAGACCCTAGAGGAGCCAACACCAAACCTACACTCCACTGCCCAGAGCTCAATGTGGCTGCTCCAAGAGTTTGCAGGCTCATGACTCTAGGCTCATGGTTACTGTGGGGACTCTTACTCTGACCACTCCCCATCATGGCTAATAGGCATCCACAGGGGATACTTGAAAAATGAAAAGTCAGGAATGAAGCAGAAACAGTGTGGACAGCTTCATGGGGCCAAATCTTGATTTTTCACAATGTTGGGAACCTCACAGCAGAATTACATACCATACCTCAATAGTACTGGCAACCAGAGGCCTTCACTGAGACACCCTAACTCCAGTTTAATCCAGAAGGAACTGTTAAGCGAGCACACATTTTATACAGCATTGCAAAGAAGAGGGTATGATAGGCCTGTATTGCCATACTTGCTTGGGGAAACCTCTTGGAGCCACCTCTGGCCCAGGATTCTGCTTCTAACACAGGATTCTGAACAGGTCTATTTAGTTTTAGTACATACCAGATTTGTCCTTGTCACCAAGGTACAGGATTGGCCTCTACACAGCACCAAGATCACTACTGGTCAACCTAACTACTACTTGGTATCAGGTCTGCAGAAAAAAACACTTTTGCTCTTGACAGGACACAGCCCAGGGTCTCACCTTATGGAACTCACGCAGAAAGGAGCGCTCATATTCTCCTCGGCAGCGGTCTTCCATCCTTTCCCGGGTCACCTGGTGCAGGGTGGTTGTTACGGCCTCAGCGCTGACCCGCTCCAGCAGACTGAGTCTATGCCTGGAGGAAATCCCTGCTCATGGAGAACCCACAACACACACCTGTCCCTTACCTAGAAGGGCCCTTCTACACCCATACCTATGTCTAGGACAGAGTGTGAACTTGCTACACAATAATCTCTAGCTATGCTGGACAGAAATGGCATACACCTTTAATCCCAGCACTTGGGAGGCAGAAGCAGGCAGATCTTTGAGAGTTCCAGGCCAACCTGGTCTACAAAGTGAGTTCCAAGACAGCCAGGACTGTTACACAGAGAAACTCTGTCTTGAAAAACCAAAATAAAATAATTCTTGGCTACAAGTACAGATGGGAAGATATCACCTGTCAGTTTACTAGCTCTATACAGAGGTGGACTGAATTCAGAACCAACGGGGCATCCAGAGAAACGGGCATGGCTGAAGAGGCAGTACTCACAGGACCTGGCTGAGCTGGTGGAACTGCTCCAGTGCCTGCCGGCACCAGCACTGCTGTTTGTCACTGCCACATCCCGCGCACAGAGGGCTCTGCAAGAGTCGGTAGTACCTGCGGCGGGCATACCGGCTGTCTAGCTCACCCTCTAGTTCGGGGTCTGTGCCCCCTTCTCCTTTTCTCTTGCTCTGCATATAGACTCTCAGGAAACGACCATACAGACGCTGGACCATCTCCTGGAATGTCCTGGGAGTGGAAAAGAACAGAACTCCCCGCAACATGGTGTGAACTTTCTCCCGAAGCCCCTGAGCTCCAGTGCCCATCAGCAAGCCCAGACGAGTCCATTTCTCTAGGAGTTCTAGGCTATGCAGGTAGGGATCCAAGCGGCTTTCCAGGAGGCCGAATGCATCCAGGAGCAGTAGAAGGCATTGAGGTTCATCGACAGAGTTTTCGCGCTGGGAGATGGCATTCCAGAACTCCGGGGCAATGTTGCCCTGCAGGTCGTTCTGCAGCACCTCCACAAACCACTCCTCCAGGATAGAGTGCAGACCATGGCTCCTCAGAACCTCCACCGCTGCACGGAGCTCTTCCTCCTTTGGTGGAACCGCACCGCTGGTCCGGGAAGATGCCTGGAGCACGGAAAACCGTGAGCAGAAGGGCGGGGTAGAGGTAGAAGGAGGAGAGGGAGAGAAATGAAAAAACTCAGCAGCCAAAGGCTGCAGGAGGAACCGAAGAAATAAAATAGCTGAAAAAGGAGGCAAGTCCCCTTCAGACAGCTCGCATGGACCCCAAAGGGTGGACTCCCTAAAGCATGCAGAATTGGGAACTCCATACAGGCCCGCCAACCTTTCCCAGGCCTCACCAGCCCCAGTGCGGCCGGCGGCACCAGACCAGTGCTCACGGTATTCCAAGCAACCAAGAGCTCCTGTCCAGGCCTAGAGTCACAGTCATCGGCGGCGATAATTGCCGCCGCCGCCCCCGCCGCCGCCGCCGTCACTGCCACAGCCTCGGCCTCCATCAGTGTCCACAAAACAGACCCGCCCAACGTAGCGCACGGTGATGACGCAAGCAAGGGACTGGCGCGCCGCTGTGACGTTTGCGTGTACACGCGCCGTGGAGGCAGTGCGCAGGCGCAGGCCTGGCTGTGCGGCGGCGGTTGAGGCTTCCGGACGCGGCGCCGACCATGACCCAACAGGGCGCGGCGCTGCAGAACTACAACAACGAGCTGGTCAAGTGTAAGCAACGGTCACGGGGGGCCAAGGGCCACGGGCCAGGGTCCGGCCGGCCCACCCGGGAGGCCGCGAGGACACGCTTCACGAGCGCCGCTCTGCGGCCTGCCCCGTGTCGTGCCAGTCGGGGTCCGAAGCTCACGAGCCCCAGCCCACAGCTCTGTCTTCCCGCCCACCCTAGGCATAGAGGAGCTGTGTCAGAAGCGAGAGGAGCTGTGCCGGCAGATCCAGCAGGAGGAGGATGAAAAGCAGCGGCTGCAGAATGAGGTGAGGCAGCTGACAGAGAAGTTGGCCCGCGTCAATGAGAACCTGGCGCGCAAGATCGCCTCTCGCAACGAGTTTGACCGGACCATCGCAGAGACAGAGGCCGCCTACCTCAAGGTGGGACTCTCAGCTGTGCTCTGTCAGTGCTTCGCTAGGATCTGAGGCTAGGGCCCATTGCGGTTCCGAGCCTGTAGGCGTGACAGTGGAGGTGTCTGTTTATGGGATCCAAGAGAGTGAGCAGCCGCGTATTGGAAAGAGTACATGATGTGGGCCAGAACTAACCCAGCTTGGCTTTGCAGGGAGGAAGGGAGGGCTTTGGGAGGGAGACTTTTAACCCCGTGACCGGTTGGTTTCAGCACGGGCCAGATTGAGATTACCATTCTCCAGTGTGAGAGAGGCTGAGACGGTGGGACCTTCCTACCAGAGAAATAACAATCCTTTTATTTCCCTGGCCCCAGATCCTGGAGAGCTCTCAGACTCTGCTTAGTGTCCTCAAAAGGGAAGCTGGGAACCTGACTAAAGCCACAGCCTCAGACCAGAAGAGTAGTGGAGGCAAGGACAGCTGACAAGCGTCTGTCTCAGCCGTGGCCTATGGCTGCCCAGTCCCCAACATGTCTGTCCTAAAGCATCTTTGTTCTTCGTGGCCTCAGATGCCTTCTCACTATCTCAGGTGCCCAAAGGGGCAACTTCCGACCTCCACCTGCCTTGGGTGACAAGAAAAGCCCTAGGACAGTACAATAGGAAAGGAGTTCCCGGCTCTGTTCTCACATGTGTCATGGGGATCCTGAGCTCCTGGTTAGCTCCATGAAGGGACTCTCTCTGAAGCTCCTGTATTCCCTTGTGCTGCCAAGGAGGTCTTGGTCCTAGCCCAAGTACTGTGAGAGCCCCTCACTTTGTCTCCTCAGCCACTAGGGGCCCAGGCCAGGCATGTTGAGGAAAGAATCTTGACTCCAGAATGGAAACCACAGGGCCCATCCCCATGGTCTCTTGATGTTTCAATAAAGATTGTTTTACAAAGATCTGTGGCTTTGTCTGCCAGCTACCATGTATTCTGTTGGTAGGGAAGAAGGCCTGCAGTTTCCCCGGACTATCTGTCTTAAAAAACACAGAACTGAGGGTAGCCCTAGTCCTTAACTCTGCTAGTAGAGGTGTTGGTCTTTTCTCTGAGTCCAGTTCACAAACCACTTTCCTATGAGGGGCTTTGCTGTGCTGTGGTGGTCAGTACAGAACCTGGCAACACTGTATGCCAGCTATTCTGGTTCTAGGTCCCATCATGGACCAGGGTTCTTCATATAGCATGCCTGTTTGGTCCAATACACTGCTGTTGCTGTCAGGACCCACCTCCCAACCACAGGAATTGCTTACTCCTATTTCCATGTGTCCTACGGCCCAGCCCTTTGCCACAGCTTCTCAGGGGCAAGTTTGGAAGTATTTGTTGACCAAAAAGATCAGAAAACAGGTTTGGTAGTTTACACCTATAACCCCAACACCAAGGAAGAAGGGTGACTTTCAAGTTCATGGCCATTCTGGCTGCATAATAAACTGTAGGCCAGCTTGGGGTATAGTGGGAGACCCTTTCTTAAATAAAAAGTACCCATAACGCTGGACTTATTCTCTGAGGGAAGCATACATAATGTTTGTCTGAGCCCAGTCAAGCGCTATATCTGCTCTTAGGTGACAGGAAGAGAAGACACTTGCATTTAGTGTCTGTGACAGTTTGCTCATGTCTGTAGATAGCCCTATCTCTACACTGGCTGCCCAGGCCTCTGAGAACACAGCTTCCAAGCTCTGCATCTCCCTAGACTCTTGGGGGTTCTCTGTTGCTAAAGCCTTGTTAAGTCTCATTGGTCAGGAGGTATCCAAATCAAACATGAGGAAAGATTTTCCAAGTTCCACTTTGCCCATTCCTGTGCTATACACAACTAGCTACCTTCCTAGGTTCCTAGCCCCACAGTGAATCCTGTCTTTACAACCTTCCCAACTAACGTCTAGGCCCCTGGGACATGGAGTTCCAGACCCGAGATTAGATCCACTTACACTGTACTAGCTTTGAGGGAGAAAGTAACATGCTTGGGATGGGGAGAGAACAAGAGCAAGATCCTGGACCAGCAAGACCACAAAGTGTGACAACACCAGACTGAGGCTACCTTTTGCTTCTTTGTACAGATGCCCAAGTTAGGCCTCCACCTTGTTCTCAAGGGCTGTGTAAAGAAGGCAAAAGCAGCCTTGTTACAGTGCTGTTTATTGACTCCAATATCAGGGGGGGGGGGAAATACCCTGCCATCCATCATTAAGGGTAGCTGAGTTTACCATAGTAGAATCATGGGCTGAGGGCAGGAGCTTGGGGTTAGTAAAGAGCAAATAGCTAGGATAGCCTCTCACTCCTGACAGTGGACACTCCCCAAAGGTAGGAGCTGAGAGGCAGGATAGACAGCACCCTGGGACAAAATCCGTTCAGGCCCCCAACTCCTCACAGATGGGATGTTACAGGTGGATGTCAGCCTGTCCCATAGGCAGTTCCCATCTGTTCTTCCTTGGAATCCCAAAACAGGAATGAGATTCAGACCTAGTCCCAAAAGCAGGGAACAACAGGGAGAAAGGAAAGCAGGGAGAGGCAGATGGAAGGGGCACAGAATAGTCGGGGCTCCTGGGCACTGAGTGGCTTCCAGAACCACCACACCTGGGGCTAAGTCTTGGCCATCCTAGCAGCTCCAGGGGTCAGAAATAGAGGGCTGGCTCGCTGCGGAAGTCCGAGAGATCATTCTGACTGGCAGGTGTCAGCTGAGAGAAAGAATAGAATATAGCCACTAAGGATTTCCATATGTCAACCCCTTCCCAAGCAGGCCAGCCCTTGGGGGTCTGCGTGTTCACCCTTAGCTCCACCTGGCTTACCATGACTTCCTTCAGTGGGAGATCCACCTCACTTGGAGCCTGCACCACCGTCTGCTCCTGCCACTTGCTGAAGGCCATGGAATGCTTGGGAGTGTAGCTGGACAGGCCTGTGGACCAAAGAGAATAGGCAGGGACACATGGAAAATGTGGCCCAGGTGCCACCCCCAGGCTGTCCATCCCAACAGGAGGTGATTACCTGAGCCACCATCTGGTAGTCTGGGGATCTCAGGTCCCACACTGCTTACAAATGTGGCCCGGGGCAAGAAAAGGGAAAAAGGCTTCTCTGAGTTGCGCTCCACTTCCTCCTCTTCACCATCCTCCTCTCCTTCCTCTTCATCTTCCTCCACCTCTTCCTGTGCCAGGGAGCTCTCAGAAGGGTATTCAAATGTCGTATGTAGGCTCTTGTCATTGAAGGAGATCTTCATCTAGGAGTAAGAACCATGTCAGCAGGGGTCCTACCACCCAGTTAAGAGATGCTAGCAGGGAGAGAAGACCCTTCTACCAAGAGTTACAGGCCCCACCTATTCTACACTCTGCTGGCACCAGCACCTAAAGCTAATTCCACATCTTAGGTATTTGTGCACCTAAAAAATCCTGAGCACCAACCATCACACTGTCAGGGACCTGCTTAAGAGGCCCCCTCCCCTCTCCCTCCCTCCCTCCTTACCTCTCTCCTCTTTCTCCCCCCCTTCTCTACTCCTTTCCCATCCCCTAATAAAACTCCCTACATTAATAATAATAATAAAGGCTAATACCCAGAATATCACCCATTTTTCAGTCTAGTGGGGTGTCCCACTTCCATAGACTTTAGGGTACCAGCAATATCATCAGTGACCTTCAACTCCTACCGTACTGTGTACTTCAGTGGCTCTAGAATTTCATATTCAAGCAAATTCTCCCTTCTCTCCCAGTGGCCTGGTTCTGAAGGACAGAAAGCTGTGGGCATCTTCTGTCATGATCCTCCTGTCTGCTGCCTGGGCTAGGAGTACTCCCTTCCCCCCCCCCCCCGTACCTCAGTTTATGACTGCTGAGGTCCCCTAGCACTCTGAGCTGAGCTCAGTCTAGTGGGTTTGTAATGAACATGAGCACTCTTATGCAGCAGATGGGGCAGCCTTGCGAGCTCGAAATATTAAACTCCCAGGCACAGGACACCAACAGCCAGCTCAGGTTCCCCCTCTTCCCCTGGAAGGAGCCAGAGGCCCAGCAGGATGGAAGAGTAGCCTGGCAGGAGGGTTGAGCCTGTCCTGAGGCAGCAAATGACCCTGGCACAGGCCATAGAACGCACAAGGGCTCACAAAAGCAGGAGGCCAGGACTAGAAGCCAGCATCCTGCCTCCTGTCCCTCTCAACCAATGGCCACACTTGTCCACGTGGCTATTGATATCCATGAGCCCTCTCTGTCCATTGGGAGATTCCCCTGCCCAATGAAATGAGGACCAGGGGAAGATCCCAGGAGTCAGAACACCTAGCTCCTCAGCTTGTTCAGGTCTATTCTCAAAGATCCTACTTTGGCCATATGCACACATGAACAGGCAGATGGGGAGACCCCCTGGGTCAGACAAAACACAGAGATGTCCATTCCTGTCATATGAAAGCATGCTGTACCCTGCTCTGGCCTCAAGGCCTACCTAGTTCTTGAAGACTAGATCAAATTGGAGACAAGTGAGGCAGAGGCTTAGGGACATTGTCACCTGGCCTTCCTGACTAGCCTTCTGAGACAGGTACCCTAGTAGGAGCCCAAGACCATATAGGGCCTAACCAGCATGAAGCCTTCTACACTAAAGGCCCTTGGATGGGGCCCTTGAGACCCATCCCCCTACTACTGAGAATACAGGACCAGCTGCCAGGGCCCAGCTGGATTAGCACACCCTCATTAGTCTGCATGACCAGTTTCCACAGGGAGGCTGAGGGGATAGATACTTGTGGGTATGGTGCCTGGCACAGCCTGGCTAGGCTGGGGGTGGGGAAGTGGCGCATAAGCCTGCCTGTCTCAGCTGGGGCCTAGCTTCCCCCAGTCACTATCTCCTTGTCTCCTCTGCCAGACTAGTGTTCATAGGCCTCCTCCTCCCTTCCAGCATAGGTCAGTAGGTCACATGGTGACTCACGCTTATGACCCCTGCGAGGGGTGGAGCTGCCTGTGCAGGTGGGGGAGGTACAGGCAGGAATTGTGACAGTACATAACTTGGTCACCAATATCTGGGGGACTTTACCCAGCACACCCAATACAGCAGGCAGGTGATGGAACCTCTGGGCTTTCACGGGGCCTTTGGTGGCAGAACCTCCCAGCTTTTACAGGGCCCTTTTGTTCTCCTTCAACCTGCCCTACCCATACACACCCAGCTTGAGTTACTGAATGGTGTCCACCCTGGGACTCAAAGCAGGGAAACTGCTCAACTGGCTGGAGGTGATATTTAGCCATACCCTGCCCCCACTCCCTTGCGCACAGTCTAGCTCCCATCCCCCACTGGTCCCCAGCCAAAGTTCCCAAGGGTGACAGGACAAGAGAGCTACCCAACTGGGGTCTCCACAGCTGCTTCCTCCTGAGGGCAGACCCTGTCCCAGTGAGATTTCATGAGTAAGAGTCCAGTCCCTCTCTAGAGTCTCTAGCTTCAGAAAGATCATGGGGGGGGGGGGAGAAACTGAACGAAAAGGAAGACAGGTGAGAAGACACTCAGGTCAGCTTTAATGAGGGGAGGCAGATGCAGACTGAAGGAAGATGATGTTGCTGGGAAGAACCAAATGGACAGACACACCTTCAAATGGGAGCCAGGCTGAGGGTCACAACTAGGCCACAGCAGTTCAGGTGAAGGTTACACCTTCGGGGAAGGTGGGAAGCCTGAGCCCTGAGGACACGAACATGCTTGGGTGTGGCACCAGAACAGGAGGTGGGAAAAAGGAAGAAGCAGCTAGACAGGTAGGAGCCACTGGTGCTCCCAGTCAGGAAAGGAGGGGTGAAAGGACATCCCTCTTGCCAAGAAGACAGTGGGGGCTGGGAGGCTGCAACTCGCTACATCAGGGAAGAGAGGTACAAACAGGGGCTCTCTCCCAGTAGATAACCTAAATGGAAATGACTGCCAAGCTGCCAAGCCAAGGCAGGCCCTGCTGCTTAGAAGGCCCAATAAAGAGCA